GTACGCATCCTTCTGATGCTACTGGTAGGACCGCGGGAGGTACGGGCGGCGATGCCCAAGGCCTTGGCGTGTCCGGCATGCGGGTTGGGAGTAGCAGTCTTGTAGACTCAGGCTTGAACCCTCATGTGACTGCTGTTAATCGTTCCTCTGCTGGTGCTGCAAGCTTTGGTTCGATTGGAATTGGAAGTGGGGCTTTAGGTAGCCAGTCTTTCGTTCCCGGGACTGTAGGTGAGGCTTTAGGTAGCCAGTCCTCTGTTCCACCCGCACCTACTCCGTCGAGTAAGTGGTGGGAAAGTGTCGCCAGTGGAAACACATTGATTCCTGGGGCCGGCATTACAGATTCAGGAGAGAAATTGGGTAGGGGTCCTTTTAAAGTCCCCAAGGCTCCTGTTTTCGATGGGACCGACGTCTCCTATCCCTCGTGGTCACAGAATTTTCTGCTGACTGCCCGGCACAACAATCTGTTTGAAGCGTTTGTTTCTGAGACTGAGATTCCAATTGCTGACATTGGTTTCGACTTGACCCCCTGGGTAGAGAAAGGATTCAGTGTGGGTGTGCTGCGTCAGGCTGAAATGGGATGGTGGTTTCTGTTTGATTGCTTGAAGAAGGAAAGTCTGAAAACTATGGCTAGGCACGCTGGTTCCCCCAGCAAGGCGTTCCGAGTGCTCAAAGATCACTTCCTACCGTTGAGCCAGAGTCAGATTCGTGTGCAAGAGGAGAAACTTAAGTCATTGCGCGTGCTTTCGAATGAGAATCCCTCCATCTTCTTTACATCTATGAGAGAGACGCTTNCGGCAGTGTTGCACTCATGTCTAGACCTGTGAGGAAGAGTGCGAAGAAGCAGNATTGCGCGTGCTTTCGAATGAGAATCCCTCCATCTTCTTTACATCTATGAGAGAGACGCTTGGTGTGCTTCAGATGCTGGAAGTTAAGAAAGATGACAGAAAGGTATGCAACCTGATGCTCGAGGGATTGTCACATGAGTAGAAATTTAAAAGACCCTGCGTGAAACTCTGGTGGTGTTCTGTCCGAATGACCCGTCGTTCATAGAGACTAAAGTGCGTGAGAGGTATCTCGACTTGCTGACTCAACCTGGTCCGAAGAAACACAGTGTTGCACTCATGTCTAGACCTGTGAGGAAGAGTGCGAAGAAGCAGAACCAGAAGTCAAAGTCTAACTCCGAGTCTGATTCGTC